TCGATTAAGGAATTGGCCGTTTTCGGTTCGCGAGAGGGCGTCGCGGCCGTTATTTTTGCGGGTCCAGGTCCGTCGGTCTCGAACCCAGGCCGTTTTCACGAAAGGGAGGTCTACTGGAGGGAGGTGTGTCCACCGCCGAGAAACAGCGCCCAGTGGGGCACAGACGCCGAGAAACGCAGGCGCCCGGACCCCGGGCTCCTGCTCATCGTCGCTAAAGGGAGGTCTACTGGAGGGAGGTGGGTCCACCGCCGAGAAAAAAGCGCCCAGTGGGGGACAAGCAACGAGAAACGCAGGCGCCCGGACCTCGGGCCCCTGCTCCTCGTCCTCCGCGCCCTCCCGCACGCTCCCCGTGCCCGCGCCCTGCCTGCCGAGCCGAGCCTGCCTGCCTCTGCCGAGCCCGCCCGCCCTCTGCCGGCCTCTTGGCATCGCTCGGACGTGTGCACCTTTTTCTCGGCGGGGACTAGGAAGGAACATCCTAGGATCCTCCTGCGGCAAAAGCCACGCACGAAGCCGACGAAAGCACAGGGAATGGACACGCCCGAGCGACGGGGAGGCCTGCCTGCTCGCCTGCATCCTGCGCCCGGCCTGGCTCCCCGTCGGCCTGCCCGCGCCCCCCCTCCTCCTCCTCCTCCTCCTCCTCCTCCTCCTCCTCCTCTCCTCCTCCTCCTCCTCCTCCTCCTCCTCCCTCCTCCTCCTCCTCCTCCTCCTCCTCCTCCTCCTCCTCCTCCTCCCTCCTCCTCCTCCTCCTCCATCTCCTCCCCCTCCTCCCCTCCTCCTCCTCCCCTCCTCCCCTCCTCCTCCTCCTCCTGCTCCTCGGGTCGCATACGGCCCCGGGGAAACCGCCCCCCCCCCCCCCCCCCCCCCCCCCGCTCTCGCGTCTCGTCTTCCTGGCGCTCCGCCGGCCCGCCCGCCCGCCCGCCTGCGGGCCCCTTGTGCAGGGCTCGGATTTCGATGCCTCCGCTTCGGTTCGGCTCGCTCCCGACGGCTCCCCGTGCCGATGCGGGTGGGCTTCGGAGGCCGATGGGGGGGGCTCCGATCTCTTCTCACGGAGGCCTCTTGCGCTGCCGACTTCCGCCCGCGGTCGACTTCTCTCCCGACTCGGCGGCCGACGTCCGCCGATCCGCTTCCCGTCGATCGCCGCTCCGACTCGTCCAGGCGGCTCGGGGGGACGCCCTGCCTGTCACCACCCACCAAACCACCCCAACCCAACCCGAAGGCTCAGTTTTACCCTCGATCTCCAGTGTGTGGGGGGGGTCGGGAAACATCGAGAAAAGCACATGTGGAACCCTTACCCCCCCCAACCCAAAATTCGGGTCTTCGGGTTGGGCTTGGGGTGGTCTGGTAGGTAGTCAGCCTGCGCACGGCGTCGGTCCGCTGCCGGCTCGCTCGCAGAGCCGCGCCGTGCGCGGGGGCCCGCGGAGCCTGCCGCACGCCCGGCGGGGAGGCCCCGCGTGCAGGGCCTCCGCAGGCAGGCCGCCGAGGGGGCACCACGCAGGCACCGAAGGCGTCTACGAAGTCTCCGCCCCGTCGGTTCAGCCCCCCCCCCAGGCTTCGTTTTTTGTTGTTCTCTCTCTCTCTCTCTCTTTCTCGCTCTCTCTCTCTCTCTCTCTCTCTCTATATATATGTATATATATATATATATATATATATGTCTCTCTCTCTCTCTCTTTTCCCCTCATTGTCTCCCTTGTTCTCCCTCGTTCTCTCCCTCCCTCTCTCTCTCTCTACTTCCCCTGCTTCGCCTTCTTTTCCCAAGCGCAGTGCGAGTGCGCCGGCTTGGGCCGCCTCTGCCCGCACCTGTCGATCCAGCCCCCCCCCTCGGCTTTGGTGTGTTTAACTGCTTTGTGTTGTCCTCTCTCTCTCTCTTTCTTTTTCAAGTGGCAGGAGAGTGCGCGGGGGTAGGCCGCCTCTGCCCACAGCCGTCGATCCAGTCCTCCATCGCTGGGCTTGCTCTTGTTTGCTAGTAGTCGCAGTATTATTCGCAATGTTAATATTATTGGTATTCGTTTCAGTTTTCTTCTGATGCATATTGCTACATTGTCGTTATGTGTCTGTGATGTTATTATAAGTCTGTTTCTTTGTTTTGTTTCTCTCTCTCTCTCTCGCTCGCTCGCTCGCTCGCTCGCTCTGCCTCTCTCTCGCTCTCTCTCTCTCTCTCTCTCCCTCCCCGTCCTTACATGTGCAGTGGAGGGAGAGCGCGCGCGGTGCTTATAGGCCCCCCCTTTGCAGCTGGCACCGCCGGAGCCCCCCCAAAAAAGAGCCTCCGGCGATGTGCTCTTTTTCTCCACGGCGTGGCTCCCCAGGTTCGGGCCGGACGAAAGGGGGGGATTGGGAAAGGGGGGGGTACGAAATTTGCTGCATGCAGCTGGTTTCGGCCTCACCGAGGGGCCCATTCCTCGATACATAGCCGCCTCCCGGCGCCGGGAGGCGCCTGGAAGATCAGCTACGTGAGCTGATTCTCAAACCCCCCCTTTGCTATCCCCCCCTTTCGCCCGGCCCGACAGGTCGACAAGCCGCTCCCCATCGACTGGCTCCTGAACCCCCGGACCCCCTCGGGCAACGAGAAAATCATGACGGGAGATGTGTCGCTGTTTTCGGCCTCGGGGGGGTCCTCGCCGGGCCTCGGGACCGTCCGAGAACGACTCGGGCTGAAACACCGGTCCAGGGGAATGGGTCGAGACCTCCAGGGGTCGACGCAATGAAAACATCATGATGTCGGGGGTCTGTGTCGAATGCCCTGTCAGGGACAACGATAGGGGGGGATAGGCATAGGGGGGGATGCATCGACCCCGAATCGCCCGTTGATCGCCGATAGGTGCCCGATGGCCGCAACCCGCCCAGGAAGGTGCGGATTCATGATCGGGGGCCTATCGCCGATCTGTCGGTGATGCATCGCCGATTCCAGGTCGATGCATCCCCCCCTATATGCCAGTCCCCCCCCCCTATATAGGCAGAACATCGGGGGAACTCCGTGGGTCTGCAGCTGCTTCCCCCGGGCTGGCTCCCGGCGGAGGCCCCCGGAGGCAGAGCATCTCTACAGGCCTCCCAGATGGGGTCGGAGTAGATGGGGTCGGAGGATCGCGCTGCATCGCCGATGCGTCGGCGATGCGCCTCGATGTGGAGCCCGCTGTTCTCATCACCGACGTCGCCGAGGCATCGGCGACGAGGCGCGATCCTGCGACCCCATCTGCTCCGACCCCATCTGGGAGGCCTCGGACATTGGGAGGACAGAACAGCGCCGTGAGAAGTGCGTGAGAAGTGGCAAGTCCAGGTGCCCTCCCTCTCTCTTCCCAGGTTCCCTCTTTCTCTCTTTCTCTCTCTCTCTCTCTCTCTCTTTCTCGGCGGCGAGCGAGGGGGGAGGTGAGAAGGAGAAGGCCTGTCCATAAGGCGGCGGGACTTCTCAGAAGCCCTCGCGCCTTCTGCGAGGGCTTTCGCGTCTCAGGGCAAGACTAAGAACACTTCTCAGAAGGCCGGGGCACTTCCGAGCCCTCTGAGAACACTCTCTGCAGACATGCGACGTCCTGATTTTTGCAAGCCAGGTCCCGGGAAATCCCGACCCGTTCCCCGGGACTGGTTCTTCATTCCTCACGAGGCCCGGCGAGGGCCCCCCGAGGCCGAAAATGGCCCAAAACCTCCCGTCCCGATAGGTTTTTCACGACGCGGTCATGTCTGGGTCTCTGTCTCGCTTCGGAGGAAGAGGAGGAGGAGGAGGAGGAGGAGGAGGAGGAGGAGGAGGAGGAGGAGGAGGAGGAGGAAGAGGAGGAGGAGGAGGAGGAGGAGGAGGCCCCCCTCGTTCGCCGCCAATCTCTGCGAGCGCAAGTCCGCGGTGTTCCACATGCTGCCCACGCTGCGCCCATGCGCCGCCACCGCCGGCACCGATGCCGAGAGACAGCCTCGGACATCCGATGTCGTGACGTCTTCCGCCCGCGGCTCCTCCGCCCACTGCTTCGCCCCCGACCTGTTTTTAGGCCCAGACCCCCTCGGGCAGTGACAAAAATCATGAGGGGAGGTTTTTTCTGATGTTCGGCTTCGGGGCGCCCTCGCCGTGCCTCGGGGGCGTCAAACAACGACGCAGGACGAAGAACAGGTCCCGGGGAAAGGGTCGGGACTTCCAAGGACCCCGCCCTGAAAAAAAATCAGGACGTCGCATGTCTGGGACGCATCTTCCGCCCGCGGCTCCGCCCCGCCCACTGCTCCGCCCCCGACCCTTTTTGTTGCGAAGGGCCCGAGAGGCCGAAAGATTCCCGGATGTCTCTGGGAGAGGAGTTCAGCTTAAGCGGCCGGACCCGCGGGGCAGCCCGCGGAGATCGTGCCGGCGTCGGTCCTGGCTCCCCGGAGCGCCCTGCTTGTGGCTGCAACGTGTCCCGAGAGGCCTTCTTTCAGCGTTTCCCAACACGCGTGCCCAGAAGCTCTCCAGAAGGTCCTTCGGAAGCTCTCTCGAGGTCCTCCCCGAGATCTTCGACAGGCCTTCCCACGCCCTTCGGGCGCCCTGCTATCCGGGTTTTGGATCCGAGTCGCCTCGGAATCGAGGCCGGGTCAAAGACTAGAGAATGCTCATCTGCAATCACGACAGAGGGCCTTCTGCAGCAGTTCCCGAGCCGCAGCGACCCGCGAGAGGGGGCGAAGACGCCCAGCGTGCAAGCAAAAGCATCACCGGGATCTCAGGGGCTACCCGCGCCACCTGTATAAAACACCCGATGCCCTGACGGTTCCTATCTTGCGGGGCCCCGGGCCCCGGCCCCCTGGGCTGGCACTTCGCCGCGGAACTGCCGGTGCGCGGCCCCGGATCCCGGCGAAGCCCCCCTCCCCCCCCCGTGGGCCGAAAAAATCCACGATAGCACGGGGCCAGACGCGGCGAGGGATGGCAGGGGACCCCCCACGAGGAAGGCACCCTCCTCCCCCCCCCCCCTCTCCTGCAGGTCGTCCGGCGGCTGCCAGTGGCCCCGGCCGCGGCGGCGCAGCCCGCCGACGCCGGCGGCGAGGCCTCCGCTGACGCCGGCGCCGGGCCGAAGCCCAGCGCCGCCGAGGCGGCCCCGCCCAAGGGCAGCGGCGAGGGCCCGAGGGCGGGGGCGCCGCCGAGGGCCGCGGGCGGGCCGCCGGGGCCCGCCGCAGCGCCCGCGGAGAGCGAGGCGCCGGCCCCAGGCGGGGGGGCGCAGGCTCCGCCCACCAAACCACTCCAGCCCAACCCGAAGGCTCAGATGTACCCTCGATTTCCAGTGTGGGGGGGGGGGTCGGGGAACATCGACAAAAACACATGTGGAAGCCTTACCCCCCCCCCAACCCGAAATTCGGGTCTTCGGGATGGGTTGGGGTGGTTTGGTAGGTGGTCAGCGCAGGCTCCGCAGGTCGCTGCGCCGGCATCGGCGCGCAAGCAAACCGCGTGAGGTCATACGTCGGGCGCGTCCCTCTACACAGGAGGAAGAGGCAACAACGGGCAAACATGAGTCCGGGGACGATGGCTGGATTATCAAAAACAGTGTTGTATTATTGTTTGGCTGCTTCTTTATGTTTCGTCCCAAATCCGCCCGTAGGGGACATGCCCTACCTAAGCGTAATGTCGCGCGTAAGCTCGAAGAAGGACAACCGCCGTAAGCATAAACTTTTGGCGTTCCGCGCGGGTTTCTTGGATCCTCGCCTGGCCCCGCCGGCGGCGACTCCGGCGCCGCCCCCGGCGCGCTCCGCGCGCCAAGGAGGGGGGTCGAGCGCAGACCCAGGAAATCCGCGCGGAGCGCCCCAAGTTGATCTTCATGCAGTTTTCCACAAGCGCCCTCGTCTCCAATGTGGCGTGCCGAACGGGCGGCCCGCGTGAGGCCCGTTTTGGAGCGTCGCTCCGCTGGAGGGGGGAACGATCCCAATCTTTGTCGCACCAGGCGTTGTCGCCCTGTCTCGAGACCCCGGGGCCATCACAGATCGACGCGGCTCGGACATTGCTGCAGACAGATGGCGTCCGTAGCTCCAGGAGCGATGTCTTGTTCTGTGGAATGAGTTGTTCGCAACGCCGAACCTCACCGATGCTTGTCCTGGAGGGCCCTGGTCGCCACGCGGCTGGGTCCTCCTTGAAGTTCTGGTCGGAGTGCACCCTGGGATATGTCTGCTGGTCAGAGTTCACCCTGGGACATGTCTGAGAGATATCGGGGTATCGGTAGCTCTTCGGCCCCGCCAAGAGGGCTCCTCGCTATGACGCAAACGGGCCCTGAGGAAAACGGGTCCTGGTGCTTCACCCCGTGCTTGGTTCCTGGGGCCCTCTCTACGGGCCCCTGGACCCCCAGGGGATGAAGAGCTGGTGCAATGAGGAAAACGGGTCCTGGTGCTTCACCCCGTGTTTGGTTCCTGGGGCCCTCCTACGAGCCCCTGGGCCCCCAGGCAGCGACTCGGGATGAAGAGCTGCAGGTCCTGGTCCTGGTTCGGAAGGCCCCCCGAGGGGGTCCAGGATCCGCTGTCCGCAGGACCTGCTGCTCTTCATGCCAGAGCCGGTCATGCAGATCTCCGGCGATGTGGTTTTTCAGTTCGATCTTGGCCTGCGGGGGCCCGGTCACGACCTGCTGCTTCATGCCGAATCTGGTCATGCAGATCTCTGGCGATGTGGTTTTTTGGTTCGATCTTGGCCCACGGGGGCCCAGTGTCGGGCCCCCCGGGCCCAGGCGGTCGACATGAAGGAAGAAGCAACGGAGGGAGCAACGGGTGCCCCTGCTCTGTTCAGAACAGGCCCAACACGAGAGGGGCGTGAGCAAGGAGCTCCTCGCCCCCCGCTCTGTCGTGGTCGTCCCTCCCGTTCTGGCAGGGGCCTGTGCTCCCCGTATGGTCTCCAGAAACTGCTGGGCGGTGGAGCCGCACCGCCGTTGCAGGCCAGACGCAGCACCGTGGCTCATCAGTGTTCTTTTCGTGTCCTGCAGAGGCCTGGCATGACCGTGCAGTGGAAACGCATGCCAAGAAACACACTGCTTACCTCCAGGGTGCCCTTGATTTCTTGGGTTTCGAGGGTTTTGTCATGGAAAGCGCGACGCTTCCACACCAGAAATCAATGGACGCCCTGGGGTCTCAGGGTTGGGCTTCTTGTGGAAGGTTTCTTGTGGTCGAGCTCCTACCGCGTTCTTGTCGTGTCCTGCACCCAGGCATGATCGCGTCGTAAAGAAAATCAGGAAGAGGATTCGTTGTCAATTTCGGCCTCGGGGGGCCCTCGCCGGGCCTCGGGACCATCAAAAAACGACTCAGGATGAAGAACCAGTCCGGGGGAACGGGTCGGGACTTCCTGGGACCCGCCTTGAAAAAATCAGGACGTCGCATGTCTGGGCAGAGGCTTGGCATGACCGTCAAATCTTCGGGAGGTCTGCGCGGCTCTTGGGGGTCAACGCGGCGCCCCTCTCCCTCCCACCCCCCTCCTCCTCCTTCTCCTCCTCCTCTTCCTCCTCCTCCCTCCTCCTCCTCCTCCTCCTCCTCCTCCTCCTCCTCCTCCTCCTCCTCCTCCTCCTCCTCCCCCTCCTCCTCCTCCTCCTCCTCCTCCTCCTCCTCCCAACCTCCTCCTCCTCCTCCTCCTCCTCCTCCTCCTTCTCCTCCCTCCCTCCTCTCCCTCCTCCTCCTTCCCCTGACCCTCCTTAGCTCCATCCTCCTCCTCTCCCCTCCCCTCCCACCCACCTCCTCCTCCTCCTCCTCCTCCTCCTCCTCCTCCTCTCCTCCTCCTCCTCCTCCTCCTCCTCCTCCTCCTCCTCCCCCTCCTCCTCTCCCCTCCTCCCTCCTCCTCCCCTCCTCCTCCTCCTCCTCCTCTCCTCCTCCTCCTCCTCCTCCTCCTCCTCCTCCTCCTCTCCTCCCCCTCCTCCTCCCCTCCTCATCATCCTCCTCCTCCTCCCCCTCCCCTCCTCCTCCTCCTCCTCCTCCTCCTCCTCCTCCTCCTCCTCCTCCTCCTCCTCCTCCTCCTCTCCTCCTCCTCATCCTCCTTCCCTGCCCCCCCTAGCTCACCCTCCTCCTCCCTCCTCCTCCCCTCCTCCTCCTCCTCCTCCTCCTCCCTCCTCCTCCTCCTCCTCCCTCCTCCTCCTCCTCCCTCCTCCTCCTCCTCCTCCTCCTCCTCCGCCTCCCCCTCCTCCTCCTCCTCCCATCATCCTCCTCCTCCTCCTCCCCCCCCTCCCCCTCCTCCTCCTCCTCCTCCTCCTCCTCCTCCTCCTCCTCCTCCTCTCCTCCTCCTCCTCCTCCTCCCCCTCCTACCCCTCCTCCTCCTCCTCCTCCTCCTCCTCCTCCTCCTCATCCTCCTCTTCTCTCCCCGCCACGCCCCTTCCCGTTGCGTGCCGAGAGCGCGGCTCTGGAGGCGCCGACAGGGTCGTGAGGAGGAGGGTCCAGCGCCGACCCACAAGTTCCGCGAGGACTTACATGCAAGCAGAGGTGAAGCGCCCTGGTTTGCCTGTCGGCCCATCAAAGAGAACGCTCTAAGATCTTGTTTGTGGTCTTCACGACGCGTTATCATCACATTTCCGTCTGAGTCTGCCCTGTTTTGATACGTCGGGCTCATGCTATAAGAACACGGTGTTTGTGGTCAGAACATGTTTGAGGTTCTAAGGACATGCCGTGGCAAGCCTGCAGGGATCCCAGGCTGGTCGGCGCCTGCTCAAGACGGAAGTTTATGTCCATAGAGTCTGCTATTCTTCCTGGTTAGAGGCGTTTGGACACGATGACCATCATCGCCCTCATCAGCACCACCCTTATCCACTCCTCTTCATCCTCCTCTCATCATCGTCCTGGGAGAAGCCCTTGCCATTGTTAGCACCATTCTCGCCCTCGTCTTGCTCATCGCCAGGGCCCCCTGATCACATGAGAGGGGCCCCGAGTTCTGCGAGCACCGCGGTGCTGCCAGCAGCGCGCCCAGGGGGGGAGGCGGAGGGCCGGGCCTCCCGCATTCAGAGAAGCCGACGGTTCAAGCAGTGGCGAAGCGTCCTGGCTCGCCTGTAGTTCTACCAAACAATGCCCTAAGAACCTTTTGTGGTTTCCACGAGATGTTCTGAGAACATTTCTGGCTTGGAGTGTCTTGTTTCAACACATCGGGTTAAGGTTCCAAGAACGTTGCTTCTGTTCTCAGAACATTCTTTGGGTTCTAAGAACAGCTCCTGGTAGGACTACAGGGATGCCAGGACGGTCGGTCCCTGCTCAAAACGGTGGCCCCGGAGGGAGCTCATCAGAAGGCCTGACCATCTTCCTGCGCCAGTTGACCCTAGATGGGCTCGGCGCGCTCAGACCGTCGAGGCCGCTGATTTTCGGAGCCGTCTGAGAGGGCCGACCGCCCCTGCAGCCCCCCCAGCGCGCCGCAGGTGTGGGGGGCGTCGGCAGGTGCCCCGAGCAGCGGGCATCCCCAGCTTTGGCCTCCCTCTTGAGCCCCGAGGGGCCCGTGGGCCTCGTGGCGGACGCTCTGGAGGCCAGGCATGGCCCTGCTTGGGAAAAAACCTGGGGGCACCTCGGGCCCATGCCACCTCTAGGAGCACCCAACGACGGTCCCAGAGATCTTCCGAGATGCTTTCTTCAGTCCGCGGCCCCTGAGCACCCGAGCCCCTCCCCGGGTCCAGTTTCTCGTTGCGGATTCGTTTGTGATGCTCCTGGCCAGGGACCGATCACGGGTCCCGGGGGGCCGACATCGAGCAAACTCACCAAGATTGACATTTATCTTGGCGCAGGGCCCAACCGTATGCAGTTGCGAGTATCGCCGTCGTGGGTATCGCCTTCGGTGGATCTCTTTATGGGGCAACGAAGCGTGCAAAGGGTGTGCCGAATTCAGGTGGAAACGCATGAAAGCGCGGCCATTGGGGTCTTCGGTGGCGTTCCGTATGGGGCCACGAAGCCTGTGAGGGGTGTGCCGAAATGGAGCGGGGCCGTCATGCGAATGTCGCCACTGGGGCCTTCGATGGAGTTTCCTATGGGGCGACGAAACGCGTGAGCGGTATGCCGAAATGGGCGGGGGGGACGCATGCGAACGTCGCCACAGGGGCCGTCGGTGGAGCTCCGTATGGGGCCACGAACCGCGTGAGGAGTCTGCCGACATGGGCGCGTGAAGACGCATGTGATCATAGCCAGTGGGGCCTCCGATGGAGCTCCACATGGGGCCACGACATGCTGTCCTGGGTGGCGCGGATGCATGCGAGCACAGCCACTGGGGCCTTCGGTGGAGGTCCCTATGGGCCATGAAGCGTCGTCCTGGGTGGCGCCGGATGCATGAGGTCACAGCCACTGGGGCCTTCGGTGGAGCTCCCTCTGGAGCCACGAAACGCCGTATTGGGCGTCGCGGGACGCAGGAGGTCACAGCCCCTGGGGCATTCGGTGGAGTTTTGTACGGGGCCACGTAGCGGCGTATTGGGTGGCGCGGGATGCATGTGGTCACCACCACTGGGACCTTCAGTGGAGCTCCCCTGGGGCCACGAGACACCGTATTGAGTGGCGCCGGATGCATGAGGTCACAGCCACTGGGGCCTTCAGAAGGGCTCCCTCTGGTTCCACGAAGCGCCGTGCTGGGTGGCGCGGGACGCATGTGGTCACAGCCACTGGGTCCTTCTGTGGAGCAGCTTGTGGGGCCACGAAACATAGTACAGGGTGTCGCGGGATGCATGTGGTCACACTGGGGCCTTCAGTGGAGCTCCCCATGGGCCACGAAACGCCGTAGTGGGTGCGGTGAAACGGTGGACACGCGGAGGGCAGAGGCCAATGATGGGAGAAGGGAGGATGGGGGAGGAGGAGGAGGAGGAGGAGGAGGAGGAGGAGGAGGAGGAGGAGGAGGAGGAGGAGGAGGAGGAGAGAGGAGGAGGAGGAGGAGGAGGAGGAGGAGCAGGAGAGGAGGAGGAGGAGGAGGAACGAGGAGGAGAGGAAGAGGAGGACGAGGAAGAGGGACGAGGAAGAGGAGGAGGAGGAGGAGGAGGAGGAGCAGGAGAAGGAGGAGGAGGAGGAGGACGACGAAGGACGGAGGAAGAGGAGGAGGAAGAGAGGAGGAGGAGAGAGGAGGAGGAGATGAGGAGGAGGGGAGGAGGACGAGAGGGACAAAGGAGAGAGGAGGAGGAGGAGGAAGGAGGAGGAGAGAGGAGAGAAAGAGGAGGAGTAGAGGAGGAGGAAGGAAGAGGAGGAGGAGGAGGAGGACGAGGAGGAGGAGAGGAAGAAGGAGGAGGAGGAGGAGGAACGCGGGGCGCTGTCTCTTCAAAACGAGCACCCCACACCCCAGGATGGTTGGGAAAAACGCATCGTAGGGGTTCGGGTTCTGTGGCCCCCCCCTCGATCCCGCCCTCCTCCGGCGCTTGCCACGGGAGATGGGCCGCCGAGGTGCCGCTTCCGGCTTCCATATGCCTGACGCTCTCGCGCTGCGCCCGCGGTCTGTCCCCCCCCCCCCCTGCCCCCCCCCCCCCCCCCCCCCCCCCTTTCCTCCTGCTCTTGCCGGGGCTCCCTCGCCGCGCAACAGGCGCGTGAGACGCGGGTGGAGGCCTAGGGCGCCGAGGAAGGCGGGGGGGGGGAGGAGAAGGAAGGAGGAGGAGGGAGGAGG